ATCTCATGAAAGTATAAACTAATGAAGCATGCAACCTAAAACTGATCACTCACTTTCATATAAAGCTGAAGTCACCAGCTTTATCAGGGCAGTCACTACCTGAAGTCCAAATGTCCCGATACAAGATACTTTTTAAAGACAAAGGTGAGAAAAACTTCCAGCCTTTAACACAGCCTACAGGTCTATGAACTGTAGCTTAAAACACAAGGCAATTTTATTCTGAAGACTGTCCCAAGAGCTGGCAATGCATCCTACTCTAACCAAACTCGTTAAACCTCATTTAAGGTTTTTCCTTCTTCTCCCAGAGTACAAATTGACTACTTAATCATGTAATGTAGGACTACAAAGTACTACTGTACTACTTTCGTAGCCACTCAGTGTACCAGGTTTCTGCTGTGGTTAGCAACTCACGATATATTTTAGTCACAGCTTCAGTGATAAATTGCAGAAATGCTACAAAATGCAAGAATCCATCTCTGATCTGTTAAGACAGCTGATACTCATATGCAAGTGTCTGATGACTGTTGTACAAAGCAAGGAAGAAATTCCTCAATCTACCACTCAGCTACCTACAGCATTTGAAGAACAGCAAGCAACTTGCAAAACAAAAAGCTTACAACAAGAAGCTAGAATCATAGCATCATTTGGGTTGGAAAATACTTTTAAGATCACCAAGTCCAACTGTAAACCTAACACTGCCAAGTCTCATTAAATCATGTCCCTAAGCACCACATCTACACATCTTTTAAATACCTCCGGGGATGGTGGCTCAACCACTTCCCTGGGTAGCCTGTTCCAGCGCCTGTCAACCCTTGCAGTAAATAAATGTTTCCTAATATCCAATCTACACTTCTCTTTAGACAACCTGTGGCCATTTGCTCTCATCCTATTACTGTTACTTGGGAGTAACATCCAACCGCCCTACAACCTCCTTTCAGGTGGTTGTGGAGAGTGATAAGGTCATAGAATGGTTGGAAGGGACCTTAAAGATCACTCCCCTGCATGTGCAGGAACACCTTCCACTAGTCCAGGTTGCTCAAAGCCCCACCCAACCTGGCCTTCAACACTTTCAGGGAGGAAGCATTCAAAATTTCCCTGGGCAATCTGTTCCAGCATCTCACCATTCTCACAGTCTCCCCTCAGCTTCCACTTCTCCAGGCTAAACAAACCCAGATCCATTAGCTGCCCAAAGTAGACATAGTATGAAGCAGGCCAGCCTGGCAACTGAAGAGCTGGAAACAAGCAGCTGGAAAGAGCAGCCTCCTAACCCAGATCTGCCATGACCAAACAGTTTGTGTGACTGGGCAAATATAACTTCAGTGTGAAAGCTTCATTGTTATCAGAACTTCTCCCTTGCCTTCTTTCAGTTTTTAAAAACTGGAAATTTCTTTCTTTTAAAGAATTTCCATATAAGTATGACTATTGGAAAAAATAATGGGAGCTACGCAATTTTAGACAGTTTCTAAACTAAACAAAGAGCATTTCAACTGCAACATCCTATAAAAGATGATTCAGATTGCTGAACTGTCTGTGTTCAACACATCCAGTACCTTATCTCATATTCAGTGGGAGCAGGTACACATTCTGACAAAACACAAACAAGTTGTTCTCTCTTAGCAAGTACTTCTGATAGAACACAACCACCCAGTACAACTTAAACTTTGAAGAGCAACATCAGATGTGGCACCATGCTCATTCAAAAATACAAGCAACCATCTGTCGAGAAGCTTCACAAGGAGGTATTGGTAGCTATCAACAGTCATTCCCAGGACAGTTTTTAACAGTTTATGTCCTCACTACTGAGAGCCAAGGTATTTCTAAGAACTGGAGAAAAATCAACTCACAATGGCAACTGTCAATTTTGAATGAATCTGAGCAGTTTTTTAAAAGTGGTAAGTCTATGCCTTTAGAGTACCAGAAATAGTTCAGAAGACAAAAAAAATAACTACTCAAAAGAATGATGAAAAGAAAGTTTTTATTACCACTTTTCTAAGCAACTGAGATTAAAAACTAGTGCTACTACCTCTAGAGACAAACTACCATGGAAGAGAAGTTCTGGGTTGATTTTTAAAAATCAGTAATAGCGATTTTTATTAGTACATCTCATTTTGACAGCTCAGATAAAATCAGCTGTAATGAAGACACTTCTATGAACGTATAGGCAGAGCTGAAGTCTCTGAAGCCACTGAAGCTCACAAGGCAAGATGTACAAGGCACAGCCAGGTGGGCCAGTCAGGGGCTATGATATTGGCTCCCATGCAAATCTTTTTTTTTTTTTTTTCCACTGAGGTGTCAGCACTGTAGCTTTTGCTAGGATAGATGGAATTATTTTTTTCCATGTATTATCCAAGCCTTCACTGAAAAAAGCAAACATCAGTGTTTACTGACAACTTCTGCTGCACACCAAGTTCAGCATTTTTCTATGAGGAAAATTCTCCAGAACACCATGTGTCCCCCTGGGGCACAAAGAAGCAAGTACCAATGTTACTGCTCAAAGTGTTCCAGTAATGAGGCAAGGAGAAAGTCATATACTTCAGTTCATGTAACATGGGAAAAAAGAAAAAAGGTGTGGGAGGGGAAAACACTAATAGGAAGTAGTGGGAATAGAGGGACATCCCTCACCCTATCCTTAAGTAAAGTGGAGGCATCAAACTTGCCCTGCAGCCACCACTACCCTTACCCTCAGGCAGGAATCCATTTCTCCTTTTCCTTAGGGTTGGCAGAAGGTGCCTCTTTCTTAAATGAAGATTCTGCCTTGACATCAAACCTCTCCCCTTCTACATCAGTTCTTTAGTTAATAGATTTAATCTTATTCTGTCTTCTCAGAACAGTTAGAGACCCACTGTGCTATCAGAGTGACTGTAGCACAGTAAGTATAAACCTGGGGTTTATGAAAATAAAAGCTCTTCAGAATTTGGAAATTAAACTCCCCTCTTCATACAGAATGAAAGTAATATAGAGTATGCTACAAACTATGATGTTCAAGATGCATCTCCTGTGGAGAATATTACAGCGACTGATGCTACAAAATCCCCAGGTAATGAAGCTAGATGCCCTGTAGTTCTTGGTTTTGTGCTAGAAACTTAACAGAAGCCAAATCAATCAGAGCACAAAGCCCAGTCGTTGAAGCTTTCTCCACCACATTTTGAAGTAACTAAGTTGCACCTACACTGTCAACAAGTAGCTAAAGCTTCATGAGCATTTGCAACTTCCACGATGAGAATCACCTGAAAGTACCTTTCAACACCAACAATTTCCACCTTATTCCTCAAGCAGTTTAATCAGTACCACTGTGTTCATTCAGGCAGTAAAACACCCTGGCACAGGAAGCAAATTCCAGTTTGAAGTCCACGTAGTTTGTAGCAGCAAGAGTATCTTTATCACGCAACCCTCACGTCCAACGCCGAGCCTCTCCCTTGCTGCAGCAGTAACTACGTGGTGACAAAAGGGCCCGTCTGGGCTGGAACCGCTCGCATCATCTGACCAGCAAAACGCTGCCGACGCCGAGACACGGTCCTTCAAACAACCCAGCACCCT